AAAGTTTTCACTGACCAACGTAAATGTATTTTGTAAATATAAACACATTTGGTTTTCGACAGCTGCAACGCATTCCAAAAAAGTTGGGACAGAGCCCAAATAAAAGTGAAAAGGTTATAGAATATCCAAGTTAAACTGTTTTGAAACAGTTCAGAGTAAGCAGGTGAAATAGAAATAGGTGAGGATATCATGTTTGGGTATAAAATCATCACTTTGTGCCAAATTTTTATGAGAGAAGTGTCAAACAAATCAAATCACATTTCGCAATGTAAAATTCCAAAGAATTTAGGTCTTTCACTTAGTACCATACATAATATTGTGAAAAGATTCAGGGAATCCAGAGAAATCACAGTACATGTAGGGCAAGGCAGTACACCTCAGTTGAATGTGCTTGACCATTGAGCCCTCAGATGGCATTGCATAAGAAACCATCATGCTACAGTGTTAAATACAGCCACATGGGCTCAGGAGTACTTCAGAAAACTGCTATCACTTAACACAGTCTGCTGCTGCATCAAGAAATGCAACTTGAAACTCTGTTACTCTAGGAGAAAAATATGCATCAATTCTATGCAGCAATGCCGCCGGGTTCTCTGGGCCAGAGCTCATCTCAGATGGAAATGTGTGCTGTACTCAGATGAGTCCACATTTCAACTTGTTTCTGGGAAAAAAATGGATTTCAAGTTCTCAGTCCCAAAGACCAAAAGACAGAAGCAAAAGCAAACGTCTGTCATGGTATGGGGGTGCAGCAGAGCAAACAGCATGGGTGACTGGCATATGTGCGAAGGTACTATTGACATGGAGGCATATATTGGGATTGTACAGAGATATATACTGCCATCAAGATGATATCTTTCATGGGACGTCCATGGTTATTAGATCAAGACAATGCCAGCTCTCATTCTGCATGTACTATAGCAGTGTGGTTTCGTAAAGACAGAGTGAATGTGCTAGACTGGCCAGCAGATCTGTCTCCTATTGAAAATAAATGGCTAATCATGAAAAGGAGAATCAGACAACAACAATCACAGACTGCTGAGCATCTGAAGTCTTGTATCAAGCGAGACAAACATTTTGCTTGCAGAACTTTAACAGTTAGTATCCTCAATTCTCAAACAATGAAACATTGTAATTAAAAGCAAGGTTGATGTGACACAGTTAAACATGCCTCTGTCCCAACGTGTTTTGGAGTGTGTTGCAGTCGTCAAAATCTAAATTTGTTCATATTTACAAAATAAATTTACGTTGGTCAGTGAAAACTTAATATATAAATATTTTCTTTGTACTTTTGTCAATTAAATAAAAGTTCAAATTCTGCATTGGTACACCTATTTTAAATAAATGCTGTTCTTTTGGACTTGTTTATCAAAAAATCCTGAGAAAAAAAAAGAGTTTCAACGGTTGATTTAATGAGAATATTTGAGAAATGTTTGATAATAATGAGAATTTTTTATTGTGGACCAAATCAGCATATTAGAATAATTTCTGAAGGATCATGTGACACTGAAGACTGGAGTAATGATGCAAAAAAAAAAAAACATTTTTAAATATATTCAAATAGAAAACAGTTATTTTACATTTGAATCATTTCACAATATTACAGGTTTTCTGTATTTTTGATTAAATAAATGCAACCTTAGTGAGCAAAAGAAACATCTTTCAAAAACCTTCGGATCCCATAAGTTTGTATTGTATAAGTATAAAAAGTTGAGTAATTGTTGTAATTTCTTGCAATGTCCCCATTTCTAAACTGCAAAGCTGATAATTTATTAATGTATTTTAAAAATAATGTATTTTAAATGTTACAGATTTTTTTCTTTAACCAAATTAAAAATAAAATATTGTTTTAAATTGTAATCAATTGTCTCAACTCTGCACCTTTTTTTTTTAAAGTAATGAAAAACAGTTATTTATTTACCTCATTTTGGAGTTAAACGAAAGCACAGACATGAATGTGATTTGATGATTAGTAAGTTTGTGTCATTCTGAAAGATTAATGTTGTTAATTAAAAATACAGAAATCAGTTTGATAATATTATAAGAAAGGTATCTAACTAAACTTCAAGCTGCTACCCTCATGTAAGCTGTCATGTGAGCTGAAAAAAAAACAAAACAAATACTGAGATTTTGCCTGCGCTGAGAGCAAAGTGCCATAAGAAGTATAAATAAACACACACACACACACACACACACACACTGTATTACTATTATTATTATTATTATTATTATTATTATAGTCTCTTCCCCATTGTAATGCTTGTAAATTGAATATATGGTATGTATTGAATATATAAAAGTAAATGTAATGAATGAAAACATGTGTCGATGTGTGTATATATATATATATATATATATATATATAGAGAGAGAG